GCATATATATATTAGGGTTAGGGTTAGGGTTGGGTTAGGCTTAAATAGGGGCATGCCTTTTGACCTCAGAGCATGCCCATATGGGCATGCCTCATGCCCCCATGCCCTAAACCCTACTCTTAAGAGGTAGTTTCGGGTGTAACAGCATCACTAATCTACTAGTATCCCACCTTGATTTTGAAAAGTTCAGTCTAAAGTTATTACTGCGTAATAGTAAAACTTTTAAAAAATATATTAAAATTTTACTCTGCGAAATTTCAGCTCAAATAGCAAAGACTTATGGAGTTACTACATTGTTTTTCTCTTGTTTTAAAGGCGAATTTGTTTTTTTTTAAAAAAAAACTTTGAGCGAAGATATTTCAGCAACTACCTGATCAAATTCGATGAAATTTTTTTTATCTGAATTCTATGGCTTAATAGAATTCAAATAAAAAAATTTCATCGGATAGCTCTGAGATATCTTCGCTCAAAGTTCTAGAAAAATATGGCGCAGCTTCTATTTTGATAGACAGTTTGATATTTTTAAAAAACTTTGAGCAAAGATATCTCAGTAACCACCTAATTGAATTCCATGAAAATTTTTTTATTTGAATCCTATGGGTCTATTAAATTCAAATAAAAAAGGTTCATCGAATTTGATCAGGTAATTTTTGACATATCTTTGCTTAAAGATTTAGGAAAATTTAGCGCAAATTTTATTTTTATACATATTTGACATTTTTAAAATAAAACTTTGAGCAATGATATCTCAAAACCACCTGATCAAATTCGACAGACTTTTTTTATTTGAATTCTATAGAGAAATCATATACAACTGTCGTGACTGGCTGCCTGAAGTTGGCGCCTGCTTAAAACAGCTAACTAATGCGTGCAGGATGATCTAATTTCAGGGGCTAATTTCAGTCAGGTGCAACTTCAGCAGCTGAAGTTCCAAGACCCTAGCGTCACCAACTTAAAAAATTTCGCTAAAAAATTGTCGCAGTTAAATTAAGGTTAGGTTTTGCTATTAAGTTAGGTTAAAGAAAGTTTTCTTAATACCAAAATTTCGCAAGGAAAAGTTTTAGTTAATGCGCAGAAAGTAGTTTCATAGGTAAAATGTTGAGTTATGAACGATTTTTTTGGTTTATTTTGATTTTTTGCGTTTTTTCGTGTTACACCGGATCTTGAATTCTGATTGGCTGGCGAAATAGTAGCGAAATTTTTTAGGGTGGTGATGCTAGGGGGGTTCATTAGTCAGATGCCAACATTCATGACACAATCACTACAAACTGCGATAAATACAATTCATCCTTATTGCTCACTCACTTACTTTATTTCTTATTGCGTTCCCTTAATTTATTACAATTAAACTAATTACATCATCTCCTGATCGATACGCCACACAGACATTAACATCCTTATAATTCGTATTACATCCCCTACCTAATACCCCTGTATTTACCGTCCGATATCCCTTTCGTTAACTATCGCTGACTAAACGCGGCATTTGTTCACTGACACTCTCCCGAACCCGATAGTAACAACCGCTAAGGACTAGTAACTTCAATCGTAAATGGTCTGGTTCATAATTTGGAAGATAATATTAAACCAATGTTAATAGGTTTAATGTTCTTATTTTGTGAACATAAAGGCGATATGAAGATTTAATAAACTTATTTTGTTTTTTTATAAAAAAAATATAAAATCGACTAAAGTTTTTTGACAAACATGAATTATAATAAGTTTGCTAGTTAACACATAACAACTATATGATAAAGTGGATTTTTTTGTTTTTTTTTTTTTTTGGAGGTGCTTGGGTGGATGCCGCTGATAACTTTATTTTTTTATATTGAAATTTATAAATCAAGTAATTCTATAATAACAATAAATATTCAATAATACATACATTCCGTATAGACTGCTATACATTAAGTATAGTGTAGCATACTTTACATATTTGTTATTTTTTATACTATAAGTTCGTTTAAATCAGGATTAACTCTATGTCAGTAATTAAACCAGATTATAAATTAACCTGTTCTAATATTAATTTATAAATTTTATTTTCTTCTTTTTGGCTGAAATGTTTCATCAGAACTGCTTATTCGTTTTTTGCCTTTTATATTCTTTTTACCACCATTATTATTACTGTCATCAGAATCGTTACTTTCTAAATCTTCATTTTTTTCATCAATCAACATGTCATTTTCTTCATCTTTAATCGCTTTGCTAGCATAATTTAGGTTTTCTAAGAAAAT